TCGAGGGTAGATTATAAGCAAGCTGAGGGTGGTTTTGATTTTCGGAGATGCGCTATTGTTAATTTACCGCCAAAAATGACAAACGAATCTTAGAAAGGCTGTTTGCCCTATTGGGATACTCGAACTTTCCAGAAGCATGGGAGGCAGTGTCACTTGTCAGGCCTCTCCCTCCCACCTTCACCAGATGGCTTTTTATACAGCGGCATTCTGAAATTGAAGAATAAAAAATTAATTTTTTAAAAGTTCATTTTTTTTAAAGATCCATTCATATCCCAAGATCCTTCCATGACAAGAAAGCATTCGGGGGAGTAAGCCAGAGGACAGCACCCGTCCAGCGAAGACACAAAGAAAATCGGGCTCACAGTTAACATCAGTAAAACCAAGTCCATAAAGAACGCCTACTGTCCTCGACTCCATATAAAGCGGTAATCGATTAAACTTTTATTAAAGACATGCCCTGCAGCAAACCAATGCCTCTGACTTCCTACAGGGGTTAACCATCAACAAAAGTCAACGAATCGTAGAGGGACTGGTTACCAAACTGGCGGGTTTACACACATTCACTTTTTGCAAAATCGTTGTATTTTTCTAAATAAAATAGCCAAATTTCAAAGTTCTCACTATAAAATCTAACAGTTTTCATTGACTCTGGACGAATTAGAAATAATTCTTACGGTATCGATGCAGATCAAATCATGATTTTTGAGGTAATCCAAGGTTTGTGCCACTAGCTCTTTACTGTTTTCATTTTGTATTCCAAATAGTGTTTTTTGTACGATACATTCTAATTCTTCCTTTGTTTGCGCTATCTAAAATGCAAACTTTCAAACTAAGCTATTTATTTTCAGATGAAAAAAGAATCAAAAAATCACGAATTTTTAAGCACACGAATTTTCACATATTTTTACCGCAATCAGCGCAAAACGCGTATATTCTAAATGATTGGTCACTCAAAGATGAACGCTGACAGATGGATGTGATAGAGAGAATGATGGAGCGAAGGATGCTTGGCGTATTTCTCCACTAGTATTTAAATAAATAATCAGATTCTTTGTCAAATGAAATGTAAACGACTTAATAGGCCGAAACATTTCTTACTATTACCACAGCTTTAATAATTTTACAACTTTTACTAATTCCTTAACATTATTTTCTCTTTTATTCTTGTTCCTACTTTAAAATATTTTTCTATTTATTTTACAAATACACGAACCGAGTGCTGGGATGCGACCGTGGTGCATTGTCATTAATGATGTATGTGCGCTGATGGATGCAAAAAAATCGTGATTGCATAACTGGCAGAACTTTGTCAAACCTTTAGGAAAATCAAATCGAGCAAGAAAGATGCGAACAGCGAAGGCTCACTCAGCGAACTTTTGCAATCCAACAAAGGTCCACTGATCATTTCCAAAAACTGAAAAACAAGAAAATTATCAAAGCTATAAAGAAAACGAGTTGGCTGCGTGCCAAAAAGTAGCAGGCCACATAATTTAATAAATCAAGGGAGATAAAAAAAATCAAGTAACAATTTTTACGGTAACAAGACAAACGAGTTGGCAGCGTGCCAAAAAGTAGCAGGCCACACGATTTAATAAATTAAGGGAAATAAAAAAAATCAAATCAAAAATTTTTAGGGTAACAGAACAAGCGAGTTGGCAGCGTGCCAAAAAGTAGCAAGCCACATAATTTAATAAATCAAGAGAGATAACAAAATCAAGTCAACAATTTTTAGGGCAACAAAACAAACGAGCTGGCAGCGCGCCAAAAAGAATCAAGCCACATAATTTAATAAATCAAAAGAGATAAAAAATCGAACCGATGTGCAAATACCTTGGTTTCCTGGGTACCCGGATGCAAGATTGTCACTGCTTCGCCTATACAATCATATCCAGCTCGACCAGCTCGTCCAATCATTTGCAAATATTGCGCCTTACGAAGCGGCTCCTTGCCAACCAGAGGTGTTTTGATTATAACACGTCGAGCTGGTAAATTTACTCCCGCTGCTAGAGTTGATGTACAGCATATCACATTTATCACGCCGTCCTAGTAAAAAATCACCATTTTTTTGAGATAATACAGGAATTTCAATTACAAAAAAACACAACAAATTTTCCGAGAAAATGCGGGAATTTCAACTACTGGAGAACAAAAAATAACAAATTTTTTGAGATAATACTGGAATTCCAACTACAAAAAAAACGCAAAATAACAAATTTTTTTCGAGATAATAGTTGAAATTCTTTTTAATACAGGGTTTCCAACTACAAAAAGACAAAATAACAAATTTTTTCGAGATAATACAAGAACTTCAACTACAGAAAAACTCAAAATAACAAATTTTTCAAAACAATACAGGAATTTAACTAAAAAAAAATGTCGCTAAGATGTAAAGGGTGGAAAAATACCTGAAAAGCATTTTCGACAATTCTCCTTTCATCAGCCGTTAAACCACTATGATGATAGGCAACGCCACGCAAAAAACTCTTTTCAAGTAAAGCGCAAAGTTTCCCATCTTGTTCTTCCCGTAACACTTCTAATGCACATAACCTTTCAGCCTTTTTACGCTCTCGAACATTCCTAAAAAGCAATTATTTTCACAGAAATATTGCGCATAAGAGAAGATTAAATGGTCACCGGATTTTGAGTCGACGTCGTCTTATGGACGGCCTATTTAGAGTCATCCAGTACCGATACAGCCCTTACTGGTTCCTACTTCCTTTCGCCTACAGGGCCTAAACGGCCCGTGGGGTCTTTTACTTGGCTACTTGGCAAGGATGTCAGATAACAGATGGACGAAGCGGATAACAAAATGGTATCCGCGCACAGTCAAACGAACACTGGGGAGGCCACCAATGAGGTGGAGAAACCCTGTGGTATGCCTGTACGGTATCACGTGAACTCAGAGAGCTCAACAACGAGTTGAATGGAGAAATTGCCAGTGCTGCATCGATGGCGCATGACAACGAACGTCGATGACATACAGCTGCCCAAGTATTCAAGTATTATGCATAACACAGTGGTTATTTTAATATAATCAATAATATTTCTAGTATCGTGACTTCTGAAAAATGCAACGGCTCATTTCCGAACCCAATGTATACCATTTTTGCACTAGTCCGTACCCGTAATTTTAATTTAAATTTTAGTAGGTATGTGTTTATATGTAAGATGTAAGCAAATAAAAAAGGAAATGTGAATAAATTAAAATTAAAATCTAAATGGGAATGTCGGTCCATCAAGTCACATACATTCCTGTTCAGTGCTGCAATTGGACCTCGTCAATGTGACGGTTGCAACAAAGTAGCGTGCAGTGTGCCAAAAAACGAAAAGGAAAGTTAAGACAAAATAAAAAGGGTTAAAGGAAAAGTTGAAAGTGTATTATAAGAATTACCTCCACCATTACTTGTAGGTTTGTTTTTCCGTATGTTTTGCGCAGCAACTCACGAAATTTCATTTTTTGAAGAAACTTACTGAACAGTTCTTCTTTAAAACAAAAAAAAAAAAAGGAAAACAAAAAAACCTTGGCATGAGGCGAGCTAACATTCCACAAACATTTTCACAGTTCAGTTTCGTTGGGCAAAAAATCAGAACCGATCTCCTGGGTAATACATCACTCAAAAGCGGTACCAATCCTTCGGGATCACTTCTCAGTAATTTCTGCAAAAACATTCAAACATATGAAGTTAACTGCATCAAAAATACTTGAAAAAATAGCCAGTTTGAGCGGAAAACTGGTAAGAAAATAGCCACTTTGAAGGGAAAATTGATTTTTGTACGGCTGAAAAACATACATTTTCGCCTAAATCCGACTGGAATTCCAATTTTCTATCCGCAGTGACCAAATAAAGTGAGCTGCCAATTTTCACTTTTTCAATCAGCCGTACCTGAAAATATCTAAAGCGATGGGAATTGATTCTTTCAGGCCAAAATATCTGATACATACGTAAATTCATTAAGAAACGAACAAATCGTGCCGCGCCTTATTTCTGAAATTTTCAAACAGTGCACCAATCAAATACTACTTGAATACTTGAGCAGCTGTATGTCATCGACGTTCGTTGTTGTCACGCCATCAATGCAACTGGCAATTTGCCCATTCGATTCGTTGTTGTGCTCTCCTAGTCTATGCGATACCTTACAGGCGTACCATGGGGTCTCTCCAACTCACTGGTGGCCTTCCCAGTGTTCGCTTGATCGTGCACGGGTACCATTCCATTATCGACTTCGTCCATCTGTTATCTGCCATCTGTGCCATATGACCAGCCCATCCCTTCCTGCTAGCTTATATATTGCTTGGATAATGTCTTTCACGTCAGATCTGGCTAGGATCACTTCATGCAGAATGCGCTGTAGCCTGCTACTAATCAAATAACAATGTGAAAAATTAGTCCGGTGCTTACGGGTCGAAATTCGGTCGAAAATACCGATGCACAGAGAAATCTTGCAAGCTGTTCGATGTTCGAAAGTGTCGCCGACAAACCGATTATTTGACCAGCACCTAAAAATGGCTGATAATGTAGATCGGGGAAGAAAAATCGATCAGAAGCCAGCTGAAAAAAGGCCAAAAAAAGACAAAATCCCAAATGAGAAAAAAGTAAAAACCTTTGTGCATGTACTTGAGAAGTGTTTGTTCAATAGCTGCACCACGAACTTCCTCGCCAATCATATGTAGCTGCAAATTGACTTTATTTATTTAATTTGCATAAAACAAAAAATGCACTGTGGCGAGAATAAGCCTCTCCTTGCGCATTTGTGTATAAATTTGACAAATTCAGTATGAAATAACAGAGTGGGAGATCAAAGATCAGTCTAAAGGTCAATTATGAAGGTTGGAAGTTAAATAATAGCTCCTTCAAACAGTCAAAAACTAATCAACATTCAAACCTATAAGTGTTTATTCCGGCCAAAATGTGGCTCGTTTTTCTAACAAATAACAAGCAAGTAACGAATGAATTTTAAACTTCGAACAATTGCTGTTTGTTAAATAGCCCAAAAACCTTTTTTTTTTGCTTTAATGCGTCGTGAAGTTGTGACGTCACAAAGAATGTGATAATCAAGATGCATCGGACACACACACACACATATATATGTACACAGACGCACACACACATCCACACACAGACAACCCCACGACACGTTTTTTGCTGCCGTTGTTCAGCATAAAACGCTAAAAAAAAATAAAGAAAAAAAAAGCAACAAAGTACATGATGTGAGGGAGTC